CTCTCTCCCTACGCCGCTGAGAGCGCGGTGCAGCGGGCGAGCCCCCGCTGCGCAGCCTCACCGCAGTGCACTGCGCTCTCCGCGCCCCTGACGATTAGTGAGGAGGTGGTGTTGCACAGCATGGAGCTCGGCGAGCGTTTAGGCTTTAGCGTTTAGGTTTAGCGAGCCCCTCAGCTAGTAGAGAGAGGGAAGAAGGGAGGGAGGGGCGTTTCGTTCTAAATTGATGAGAGGACTAGCACTCACCGCCCGCACACTGCCGCCCATCCCTCCAAACGGGCTTCTTGGGTGGAAAGAGATGCCACCGGGCGGCTTCGCCGGTTACTCAAAACGGTCTGGTCCGTGAAGACTAGCTCGCGGGCAGCCAAGGTGGTACTGCCCGCTCCTCCGCGCGCGCGCAAGAGGCGGCGAGGCGGCTGCGGCCGGCTGCAGGCAGGGCGTGCAGGCACGCGCGCGTTGCTCTGTGCTCCTCGCTCCGACTGTCCTTCACGCACCGCTCGAGGAGCTGCGCTCGAGCGCCGCGCTCCTCGCTCCGAGACGAAAAGCGATGCCGAGCAGCAGCCTCGTTCGATCGCTGTCGTTCACAAGCAGCCATCGGAGGCGGAACCGTCAGGCGAGGCAGCGGGAGATTGAGTCGAGTCACTCAGCGAAGGAGCTCGCGACGGTGGCTGCCACTACGATGGATGAAGCGGCAGAACTGCAGGCCGCACAGCGCCTGATAAGTGAACAGCAGCAAATCGCCTCAGCTTTGCGCGACCTCATCGCAGCCGTGGCGAGTGGTGCGGACGCGGCAGCAATCCTGACGGGCGTGTTGCCCGTCCATCGCCGCTTCCGCCTGTTCCGGCGCTGCCGGCGTCAGCAGCGCTCTCCTTGCGAGTAGGCGCAGGTTTCCGAGCCATCCTCGAGCGGCTCTCTCGACAGCAGCACGAGCAGGCGGAGCTGCTCTGCCGCGACTCTTCTGCTGCGGTGGTGAGGCGCCAATTCCCTACCCTCGTATCGCAAGGGAACTTGCTGATGGTCCTCCTCTCGGATCTCTCGGGCGCAGCCGGTGGCGCGGCAGCAGCGCCACGGCCGCCGCCGCCGCCGCCGCCGCCGCCGCCGCCGCCGCCGCCGCCGCCGCACAGTGCGGCCAGTCAGCTGACCTCGGACACTCGAGCGAACCCTTTTATGCTACCACACTCCTCGACGACGCCCTGGTAACAGCCGCTGTCTCCTTGTGCAGTCTTGTAAGCACATCTCATGAGCATCCGGGAGAGCAGGTCTAAGATTTGGGCAACCCTCTACCCCTACTACCCAACCATTTGTGTATCAACGTGTCACTGCGGACACGGCCGGAGCGGACACGGTGACCGCCGCGTCCATGCGGCGAGAAAATGTCCCGTCCTGCATGCGGCAAGCTGCACAGCACTCAGCAGCAGCTACGCTGCGGTATAAAGAAAAGGAGATGTACCCTGGTGTGATGGCTGTACGGTGCACAAAATACGTGCGCCGCCGGCCTCTGGTTATTTACTCAGCGGTCAGGGCGTGGGCTCTCTGCCGGCCTCTGGCCCTGCGTTGAGTGCAGATCCACATGCTCCGAGCTCGGGTCGCTTCGGGGGCGCCCCCTCCCCTCCCCCTCACTCCTTAGGCACGCACCCGCGGGCGAGCTCGGCGAACGCGTTCGCCTGCTCGTCCGACAGCAGCGGGATGTTGTACCGCGAGTAGGTTGCCTCCCCGCCGGCGTTGCTCGACCAGAGGTTTGTCTGGATCGACCGCTTGGCGACGGTGAAGGTGGTCGAGCTGAGCAGCCGCGCCGAGAGCACCGCGCGGCCGTACTTCTCGCGCTTCGCCCCCACCTCGTCCGAGGGCTCGTCGTTTGCGGCCGAGGACGACTCGGAGACGAGCGGCCGAAACTCGAGAAAGTGGACCCCCTCCTGAGGGGACGTGTCGGGGACGTGTCGGGGACGCGTCTCGGCGGGGCGGGCCCGGGGAGGCGGCCCCCTCTCCTGCGCCAGCAAGCGTAGCATCCCCTTGCCAATCGACTTCCACCTGCGGGACGTGTCCGGGTCGTGGACATGTCGTGGACATGTCGTGGACGAGAGGGGCGTCCCCCTCCTCAAAGCCGCTCCCCCGCGCCCTTCTCCTGCACGAGGTCATCTCGGGGAATCTCGGGGAATCACGGGCAGCCTCGGGGACTCTCCAGGGCACGCCTCCCCTTCTCCTTCTAGGAAGTGTCTAGGAAGTATCTAGGTATTCTCCAGGGCCTCCCCTTTCCGGGAGGTGTTAGGAAGCGTGCAGGAGGTGTCTAGGACGCGTCACCCCTTCTCCTGGACGAGCTCGCCCTCGCCGTTCTTCTTCTCCGTGCGGTAGACGGACAGCTTGGTGCTGCCCTTCCACTTCTCGTCCACCCCCTCACCGCTCTCCACCTCTGGCGTGCCCCCGCCCGCACCCCCGCCCGCATCCGCCGCCGGCGCTGCCGCCGCGCCCGCGCCGCCAGGAGCGCTGCAAGCGGGCGCCACCGCACCGCCGAGCGGCGCTTTGACGCCAGCGCCGCCGCCGAGGAGGCTCTCTCGCTGCTTGACGTAGTCCCTCACCTGAGGGAGGGGGAAGGAGCGCGCGCTGAGTCCGCCAGCAGAGCTTCGCTTCTCGCCGCTCGAGGCGACTCCCGCACCGCACTCGACCAGTCGCACGCCTCGCCCTTCTCCCACTCCTCCTCCACCCACTGCAGGAACTCGTCGTTCAGCGCCTCGAGCTGCTTCTTCGTCTCGCCGTCCACCGCCGCCGCCGCTGGCGCAGGCAGCCCCGCCGCCGGCGCGGGCGCAAGCGCGGCCGCAGGCGCGGGCGTGGGGGCGGATGCGGGGGCGGGGACGGAAGCGGCCTCTCCTCCGCCAAACGCAAAGGGCGCCGCCTGTGGGGCACGTCCCGGGCATGTCATGGACGTGTCCTGGTAGGGCCCTCTCGCCGAATGGAACGGTCGACCGGCGCTGCCCCGCCCGCAAACAGGCCGCCCAAAGAGCCTGCGCCAAAGAGCGAGCCGGCGCTGTTCGCCGCGGGCGCGGGCGCGGGCGCGGCGGCTCCGGAGCTGAAGAGCGACGGCGCGGCGGCCGGTGCCGGCGCCGGCGCCGGTACGCCAGACCCGAAGCTGAAGGGCGCAGAGGCGGCCGGAGCTGGCGCACTCGCGCCGAAGGAGAAGACGCCCGTCGGTGCGGGTGCGGGTGCGGGTGCGGGTGCGGGTGCGGGTGCGGGTGCGTCGGAGGCGGGAGCCGGAGCGGCCGCGGTAGTGGGGGGGCCTCCGAACGGCGACGGCTTGTCGGCGTTCTTCGCTCCGAAGCTGAAGCTTGCGGGACCGCCTACGGGCGCTCAACTCCGCCTCGAGACGCGCCCCCCTCTCCAGGCCCTCTCCGGGCGCCCCTCGGGCGGCGACGCGATCGCCTCCAAAGCCGCCGCCGCCGCCAAAGCTCGGCGCGGCGGGCTTGCTCGCGTCGACGCCAGAGTCGTCAGCCGGCGCGCCGCCGGCTCCGAAGGTGAAGGCAGCTGCGGGCGCCGGTGCAGTCGAGCCGTTGCTGCTTGAGGCAGCGGCAAAGCCAAAGGCGGGCGCGGCCGGCGCCGGAGCAGGCGCGGAGGAGGGTGCTGCTGCCATCGCTCCAAATGTGAAGGTTGGCGCTGCGGCGGGCGGCGCAGCCGACGAGGTGCCGAGCGCAAACGCGGAGGCGCCAGCCGGCGCCGGCGCCGCTGGCTTGCCAAAGGAGAAGATGGGCGCGGGGGCAGGCGCCGCGCCGCCCGCGACGAGCTGCACGTTTGCAAACGGGTTTGCAGCAGGAGCGGCGCCGGCCGCACCGGCCGCGCCGCCCAGCAGGCTCGCTCCGCTGGCCGCTGGCCTCTTGGCCTTGCGCATCTTGCGCTGCTGGAGTGTCGCCTCGTCCGCCTTCTGCCATGTGCCCGGATCGGCGGAGGTCTCGCCGTCGTCCTGGTTCCAGTTGTCCTTCGTGAGCTCCGTGGCGGCGCCACGCTTGCCGCTCATGGGTGTCTTCTCCACGCACCCGGTCGCTATTAAACTCGAGTAGTCGATACCCGGGTATCAAGACACTCCTTGTCCTCACCTCGATGATGACCGTGTCAAACATCACCGTGGCGCAGTCGCTCGCGTTGAGGCACAGCTTGAGGTCCTCCACCTTGGTCGATCCGGCAGAATTCTTTTTTCTCGTGAGAGAGGGGGTCTAAATTCTTTTTTCGGAGACAGAGGACGCCCACACCCTCTGTATGCCTGGCCGTTGTGGACGCCGTTGTTTCGCAGCTCGGTCGGGGGGGGCCGCCCCTGCGTTTCCCCGCGGTCGGTCTCGAAAATCATTTAGTCGGCGGACTTGTAGAGAGAGGACCCGCAACCCCGCCCGTTTGCATGCCCGGCCGGACGAAGGCTGGCTCGGCCGCGTCCCGGCGCGGGCACGCTTCAACGGCGGCTACTGCTGCGCCGCTCGCGCTGCCGAAAAGGATCGAAGCGGCGGCGGAGAAGGGCAAGGTCGACGAGGTGCAGCTGTGGCTCGGCGGGGCTGGGCGGGCTGACGCGACGTGCGTGCATCGCGGTGTGAGTGGCTGTACGCTCCTGCTGATCGCCGCCAAACACGGTCACAAAGAGCTCGTCGAACTGCTGCTGAATCGCGGCGCGGAGGCGGACGCGCGAGACAGCTACGACAGTACGGCGCTGATGGTCGCCGCCGCCAAAGGCCACCAGCAGGTGGCCGAGATGCTGCTGCGGCACGGCGCAGGGATCAACCTGCAGGACAGCGCAGGCATCACCGCGCTGATGATGGCCGCCGCCAACGGCCACGAGCAGGTGGCCGAGATGCTGCTGCGGCACGGCGCAGAGATCAACCTGCAGGACCGCAAGCACGGCGTCACCGCGCTGATGTCCGCCGCCCGCTACGGCCACGAGCGGGTGGCCGACGTGCTGCTTCAGCACGGCGCAGAGATCAACCTGCAGAGTCTCGCCGGTACCGCGCTGATGCTGGCCGCCCTCTACGGCCATCCCGCCGTGGTGCTCCGCTTGCTGCGGGCGGGCGCTGACATGAGGGTGCGCTCTAGCGGCGTGACGGCGCTGCAATGCGCCAAGCAGAAGGGCCACAGCGAGTGCGTCGAGGCTTTCAGGACGTATCTCGGCGAGGTGACGGCAGCTCGGAGCAAGGCGCTAGCAGCCGAGGCGGGCGGCGCAGGGGCGGGCGGCGCACCCGCAGGCGAGGCGGCGGCGGGCGCCAGTGCCGAGGCCTCTGTCTCGAGCGGCGAGGACGGCGCGGAGGCCGAGCCGGGCAGCGGGGCGGTGCCAGAGGAGGTCGTGCTAGCGGCAAAGCGAGGCGAAGAGGCGGCGGTGCTGGCGTGGCTCGACGGCGGCGGGTGGGTCGAAGGAACCTTCGAGTACACCTTTGGTTGCGGCTCTCGTGGGAGCGGCATGACGCTGCTGATGGTCGCAATGATCAAAGGCCGCGCGGAGCTTGCCGAGGCGCTTCTGCGGCGTGGTGCAGATGTCTCGTTGCAGAACAGCGACGGTAGCACTGCGCTGATTCTCGCCGCCGGGAACGGCCACAAGAAGCTGGTCGAGCTGGCATTGCGGCACGGCGCGGAGATCAACCAGCGAAACGGCACGACGGGTGGCACTGCGCTGATACTGGCCACCGATAGAGGCCATGAGCGGGTGGTCGATTCGCTGATCCGGCACGGCGCGGCGATCGACCTGCAAGACAACAACGGCGCCACTGCGCTGATTCGGGCCGCTTTCCACGGCCACCGCGCCGCCCTCCTCTGCTTGCTGCGGGCGGGCGCCGACACGAAGCTGCGCTTGGTGGCTGGCGACACCGCGCTGCATCTGGCCAAGCACAAGGGCCACGCCGAGTGCGTGCGCGCCCTCGAGGAGCATGCGGCGGCCGAGAAGGCGGCCGAGAAGGCGGCGAAGGAGGCGGCGTGGGCTGCTGGGGCGGCGGAGAGGGCGGCGGCGAGGGCGGCGGCAGAGAAGGAGGCGGCGCGGCACGCCGAGGAGCTGCTGGCGGAGGTCGAGGCGGAGAAGCGCGCCAAGGGCAAGAAGGGCAAGAAGAAGAAGAAGGGCGGCGGGAGCGGCGGGGCTGGGCCGTCGCAGGAGTCCGAGGCGCCGGCAGAGGCAGCCGCAGCCAAGCCCGCGCCGTTGGACAGGGAGGGGCTGCTCCGGCTTCTCGCGGAGCTCCACGAGGACAGGATCCGGTTCGGCATCACGCCGGAGACGTCGGTCGAGGGGTTGGCGGAGGCGCTGGGAGAGGCGGCGGGCGAGGCGAGCGAGGAGGAGGGCGACGAGGAGACGGCGGAGGCGGCCGAGGAGGCGGCCGAGGAGGAGGACGAGGAGGAGGGCGAGGAGGAGGGCGAGGAGGAGGGCGAGGAGGCGGCAGCGGAGGCGCGCCGGCAGGCTGAGGCGAAGGCTGCGGCTGTGGCAGCGGCAGAAGAGGAGGAGGAGGCCGCGGCGGCGGAGGAGGCGGCGGCCGAGGCGGCAGTTGCAGCGGTAGCGGCGGCAGCGGCGGTGGCTGCGGCCACGGCAGAGGCGGCGCTCGCCGCAGCCAAGGCGAGGCGCGTCTCGGCGGCCGCTGCGAGGGCGAAGGCGCGGGAGGCGGCCTAGCCCACGCGCCAAAGAGGACTGCTGGCGCAGACCGCAGTGGCAACCATGTGTGGGGAAGGGATTCGAAGGGTGTCGCTCGGACCGTTTGTGGCAACATATCGAGAACTCTCTCGGAGAGTGTAGAGGTCACACTCTACGGCTCTACGGACGAGACACAGAGTGACACACGTGTGTTCGTGTAAAACTCTCAAGTCACAAAAATGAATCACACAACTCACAGGGTCTCAACTCTGCCGATGATGCGGGCGGCCGGAGCATCATGTCGAGCGGCAGGGGCGGCGACTGGGCACCTGAGTCGGATCGCCGAAGCGCATCCAGAGAGCCGTGCGCCGTGGCGGCGCCGGCGGCGCCGGCGCCGGCGGCGCTGCTACCCGCGGCGGGAAGCGCTGCCGCCGCCGCCGCGATGCCTTCGGCGGAGGCGACCGGAGCTTCCGGATCGGCGCCGGTCGCCGCGGGCGGCAGCGGCTCGAGGGCGGCGAGGCCGTCTCCGGACCCTGCGCGGGAGGGCGTGGGGAAGCGGCCGGAGCTCGAGCCGGAGGTGGCGGAGCCGGCGGAGTGGCCGAAGCCGCCCGGCGTGGGCAGACGAGAGACGTCCCGAGCTGCACGCGGACCCCGCGGCGCCAAAGCCGAGCCGCATTGGCGACGCTCCGGTGGAGGAGCCGCACGAGGAGCCGCCGGACGAGTCTTGCCGCCGCCGCGCGGCGGGAAAGTTGGCGGGCGAGCCGAGGTCCCACTGCGGCAGCGGTGTGGCGGTGCCCGAGTCGGTGCACGGTGGAGGGCGGTTGGGCCGGCCCCGCGGCCGGAAAGAGCGCGGGCGACGCCGCAAAGAGCGGCTGCAATACCAAACAACTCTAACACTCACACGTAATTTGGGGCCTGGAGCCCTGTTCACGCGCGCGCGAGACGTGCAGACAGGGTTGCCAGGTGAGAGCGATGTTGTATTTTGCCGATTTGGCCTAAAATTTGGCTGATTTGGGCCCAAACCAGCTCGCAGACTCGCAGACGCGGCCCCAAAAAAAAGCGCGGGCATAATTGGCTGGAGCCCCTCTCTTCACAGAGTGATCGGCGAACCCTTTGGAGCGAACTTGGAGTAAAACACTTCTGAGAATTCCATGCACAGTTTGCGGGTTGGCGCTTGATTTGGTAAGGGGGTCGGAGGTACCGTTCGGATCGTCAACTCAGGAGAGCCCGGCGTGAGTCCCCCACGTACACAATGGCCTCCGTCGGATCAATGCTGCTCGAGCCGCAGAACAACTCCGCCGGCGAGGCTATCAAACTCGGGGTGGACCTGAAGGAGAAGGCCAAGGTTGACCCCACCATCTACGAGGGCGTGCAGGAGGGCTACCAGCCCCACCGCGACCCGACGGAGTGGGACCTCGAGCCCGTGCCGGTCACCAAGGCCTACCGCAACCAGGACTTTCTCAACTCGGCCCACGCGCGGCACCTGCGGATCCTCGCCGAGTACGAGGAGACGATGCAGCGCCTCCGCGCCTCCGGCGTGCGCGCCACCATCCAGGTCTTTGGCTCGGCTCGCGCCAAGGACAGGGGGCAGTATGACCGGTCCATGGCTGAGCTGGTGGAGCAGCTCGAGGCAGCGAAGCCCGGCTCGGAGGAGCATGCTGAGGTGGAGGAGCGCATCACCAAGCTCAAGTCGATCGAGTGGATGTGCGATTACATGGCCAGCATCGAGGAGCTGGCGCGCCGGCTCACCGAGTGGTCGATGGGCAAACGCCAATCGCGGCAGATGGTCAGCGGCGTCGACCGCACCAAGTCGGCGCTGCGCGCCTCGTTTGAGCGCAACCTGTCGGATCTGTGCGACCCCTCGGGCCGCTCCTCCATCGCCGACTCCTCCGACCGCCTCGAGCGCGAGCTTAGCGCGGCTGGCGAGCTCAACGAGGCGCAGAAGCAGCTGCTCCGCTCGGTCAAGATCTCGCAGCCGGCTCCGACGAGCCCCGTGCTGAGCTTCTCCAAGTCGCCCGTGCCGCACCGCCGCTTCGCCTACCTCCCACACTCGTCGGAGGACAACCACCCCGAGTCGCGCGCGCCCAAGGCGGCCAATCTCTTCATCGCCACCGGCGGCGGGCCTGGCTTCATGGAGGCGGCCAACCGCGGCGCGTCGCGCGTGCCGGGCGGACGCTCGGCGGGCATGGGGATCTCGCTGCCGTTCGAGACCGGCCTGAACCCGTACGTCACGCCGGAGCTCGCCTTCGAGTACCACTACTTTTTCACGCGCAAGTTCGCAATGGCCTACTACATGCAGGCGCTGGTCGCCGCGCCGGGCGGTTTCGGCACCATGGACGAGTTCTTCGAGCTGATCACGCTCAAGCAGACGGGCAAGATGAACCAGGCGATGCCGGTCGTCCTCTTTGGCAAGAAGTACTGGAACACGGTCGTCAACTGGCACGCGATCGCTGACTTCGGCACCATCAACCGGAAGGAGGTGGACGAGATCCTCTTCACTGACTCGGTGGACGAGGCCTTCGACTACATCACGTCCGCACTCGAGAAGATGCTCAGCTCCAAGGCGTGAGGCTATCCACCCATTGGAGCTGGCGCGAGGCGATGTGCGGGGCAACGAGGCATGATGCGTGCCGCCCCAGCCTCGAGGTGAAACGGCTTGTCCATGTGCGGGCGGCTCCAATCATCCGCCGAGTGCGATCGGATGACGAGTCGGGACCCGAGTTCGAGCGCCTTCGACGCGTGTGTGAGCGCTGCCTTGTCTAGTCACTTGCTTGGGGCGGAGAGAGCGAGAGTCGCCGCGTAGCTTGTTGCGCGCGCCGCGCGTCCCATAGACCTCATACTCGTGCTCCGAGTCCAACCTGCAACCATACCGTACTAGTGCGCTCTACGGAGGTCGGTGCACGCGGTCCTGTGTCAGCGCATGACAGGTGATATGGTGCGATGATGATTATTGTTAAATGTTTTACTTCCGGCCCAGGAGAGCGGCCCGCCAGCGGGGTCCCACCAGGCCCACCACCCATACCCCGCACACGACCGTACGCAGCCACGTCGCCCCGTAGCCGTACGCCGAGGGCCTCGAGCCGAGGCCCGAGGGGGCGGCACACCATCCTGCGGCACCTCTCACGTGAGGTGGACTGACCTCGAGGGACTGACGACTGTCGACTGACGTACACAGAGTCAGAGAGAGAGGAGCGCGCCGGCTCCCCCTCCCCGACAAGCCCCCCCGCGCGGAAAGCACCGCAATGCGCACCCAGTCGAGAGTCGACACGATCCCACCCGTCGATCGCGAACGGGCAATCGGCAGAAGTTCGGCCGCGCGCGCGCGGCCGTGCGCGCGGCATCGACGAGCGACGTGCTCGGCACTGCAACGAAGTCCAACATTGGCGACGGGGTGGCTAGTCAGGCCGGTTCTCGAGGCCGGCTCGAGCGGCGTATCCGACGACCTACCTCCTCAAGCTCTCGCCGCGTAGTAGAGGCCGATCCCGCTGACCGAGAGGGCGATCCCGCCCAAGAAGCCGAGCGAGGGGACGTTGCCGAGGACGACGCACGTGGTCAGCGTCGCGAAGACGACCGGCCACGGCTTCGAGATGGCGTACAGCACGTTGCCGCCGGCGGAGATGGTCAGCGCGATCAGGACCGCGCTCGCCGCCTTGAGCGCCACCACGAGCCGTGAGGACGTGTCTAGGACGTGTCTAGGGCGTGTCTAGGAGGCGTCTAGGAAGGCGCCTTGAGCGCCACCACGAGCCACACCCACGGCGCGCGGAAGGCGGCGAGCAGGGCGGCGGGCGAGGGAGGCACTCCTCCCGACCCGAGGATGGCCGCCTGCGGGGGGCACGAGGGGGCGTGTCGCGGAAGAGCCCGCCGCCTGGCTTGGCCGGGCCCACGGGAGGGCCGCCGAGCGGACGGCGGACGAGATGGCGAGCCTGCGAGGGTGGGTGTAGCTCAGAGAAGGCTCCGCGGGACGAGACGGCGAGCATGGGCCAAGGCTGTGCGGGGGCTGGGAGGGGCCGGGGAGGGAGGGAACGGGAGATTGGCTGGGCGAGGCGGCGGGTGGCGCGCCAGAAAGTGATCATCGCCGTCAGTTGCACGTTGCGGACCCACAAGTCGCAGCCTGGCTCGCGCAGCTGCCGCTCGTACGCGACGTTTGCGAATGACGTCATCGCCTGCGCTTCCGGACGCGGCGAAGTGTCTCTGTAGTGTCTCTGTAGTGTGTCGGGAGGAGGGGGCTTTCGCCTGCGCGCAGAGCAGCCCGGCGATGCCGAGCGCGCGGTTGCCGCTCGAGGCTGCGACGCCGGTCGCGACGTCCTTCAGAGCGACGAGGACAGCGCCGCCGAAGAGGCAGCTCAGGCCTGCGGAGGAAGAATGAGCAGCTCCGGGCCTGCGTCAGACGCGAGACAAGACACGCCCCGACCGGAGGTCTTCTCCCCGAGCATCCGAGGCGACTCCATCTCGGCGGCGTCTCTCGGCGGCGTCTCGGCGACGTCTCGGCGACGTCTCGGCGACATCTCGGCGACGTCTCGGCGACGTCCTCTCGGCGACGTCCTCTCGGCGACGTCCTCTCGGCGACGTCCTCTCGGCTAGAGCTCGCCGAGCATCTGCTGCGGCCGGAGCGGGCCAAGCATGCCACGCATGCGCAGCGCCGCGACGGTGAAGAAGATCTTTGCCTGGGCGAGGACGGTGTAGGTGACGGCGCCCACGTTCGACTGCGCGAAGAAGTAGAGCATGTTGTCGAGGGCGTACACCGAGCCGATGGCGCTCCTGCGGCCGGCGGAGGGCGGCGGAGGCGGTGGAGGCGGCGGAGGCGGCGGAGGGCGGCGGCAGACGGCGGAGGGCGGCGGAGGCGGTGGAGGTGGTGGTGGCTTCAGCCGTCGAGAGGGGTTGGGGGGGGGGGGGGGTCGAGGGCGAAACGGGAGACGGGAGGCGGGAGGAGACGCACAGGCGGAGCGGCTGTTCGGTGATCGCTCTGCGGAAGACGGCTCCGATGTCGCGATCGCCAGCGGCGGAGGCGCCGCGCAGCCGGCGCACGCCATTCCCGACGACCAGCCAGGCCACGATCAGCGGGAAGATTGCAATCTCAGAGACCAGCGCCTGGCGGCGGAGGCAGGCGGCGGTGAGTCGGGAGGCTGAGGCTCACACCGGCGGCGGAGCGGGGCGCCATTGCGGTCGCTGGCGGTCGCCGGACGTGGTTGGTGATGAGGTCGGTGGCCGTCTTGACCGATACGAGGGAGAGGAATGGCACCACAGCAGCGAGCGACAGCATGGCAGGCGTGCTGGCAGCAGCTGCTCCATCTCCCACGGGCGGCTGCTGGCAGCAGCTTGGCGGCGGAGCGCGATGTCGGCTCACGCACGCGAGACGAGGGCCACCAGCAGCGAGCAGCGGCCGTGCCAGCGGCGTAGGCCGATGGTAGGCTGCAGCGCCAGAGGACCAGAGGACCAGAGCGACGACCATCTGGACGATCGAGCGACGTGTGGTCCGCGCCTCGGATGGCGAGGTCGCGGGAAATTCTTTTTGCTGCCAAGTAAGCCCGAGCCTAGCTGTTCGGCGCCTTCCTACCTACCTGTATTGCGGTCGCGCTCGAAAAAATCCACCAGTCCGCAGTGCTCTCTTGCCCGGAGCCCGATGCCAATCATCTGGCCCGCTGGGTGCGCTTCTTAGCTCCCCCCCCGGTCCTGGACGTGCGGCTGCCGACTGCACTCCAAGTGCTCCAAGTGCCTCCCCATGTGAGGCTCGCGCTCAGAAAAGAACTTTACGACGAAACTTCCTCAGCAGAAATAACGCTGTGAGCTGAGGGAGGGTGTAGAGGATGTAGAGTGTAGAGCGCTGTAGAGCTGTAGAGATGTAGAGCGCTCTGGAGCGCTGTAGAGCTGTAGAGCTCTACATCCGCCGCGTGACGAACTGCGTGCGTTGTAGAGCGATGTAGAGGCGCTCTACAACGTGAAATCTCTACAACAAACTCTACATGAAAAATTGGGGTCCCGGGACCGGGACCCCGGAACCCGGGACCGCCGCGCAGCGGCGCAGCGCGCGCAGCGCGCGGTGGGGAGGGGTCCCGGGTCCCGGGACCCGGGACTTGGGATGGTAGGGACTGGGGACCGCCTTAGCAACACCAGACAGACACACTCGAGTACCACACGCCCGGACCGCCCACCCCCGCCCCCACCCCCGCCCGGCAGTCGACTGTCGAGCTTGGCTTGACGTGCCAGGTGGTACGTGCTGGGGCGTGCCTCGCCGTGCCATGGCGCGCCGGCCCCTCGCCGCGAAGGGCGTCGCTCTCCCCCCTCCGTCCCCTCCCCCGCTCGGGCGTGCCCCCACCTCCGCCCCCTCCAGCCCTGTCCCCTCTCCCCCCCTCCCTTCGGCGTCCCTTCGGCGCAGCCTCTGCCTCCCCGAGAGCGCGCACCGGCCGGGCACCGGCCGCGCTCTCGACTAGAGGGGGAGGGGCCAGCCGCGCTCTCCCCCTCCGCCGTCGTACGAGACTCGCCTGCAGCGGGGCGAGGGCAGAGGCGTGAGCTGATCATACCCGAGGGTGGGGGCTAGGTTGTTGATGCGAGGTTTGGCTGGTGCGATTCAGATGGGCTGGGCGGGTGCGAGGCACGGGAGAGGCAGGGGGAGCAACATCGCACCTGCTATGAGGTCCGCCGGAATAACCCGAAAAGGGAGGTGGAGCGCGGCGAGGCTGGCTGCGCGGGGGCCCGCGCGGGGGCCTGCGAGGCGCCGCCGCCGGAGGAGTCCTGCGTCGGCACCGCACCATCGTCCGTCTGTAGCCCAAGGGGATGGGGGGCTGTGAGCGCAGGTATAGTTGGGAGCTCCTGCAGAAGAGGATAGGTGCCGGCGGGAGTTGCGCGCGGAAGGCGGGGAAGTCAACGTTGCCGAGGTTCAGGTCGAAGGCGTTCGTCTCGAGCTTGCCGAGCTTCTCGAGCTGCTCGCCAAGCGTGGTGAGGTTCAGGATCCTGCCCTTCGCCAGCGAAGGCGGGATTTTACCCGTCCGCTCCCTGAACTCGAAAGCGACGCGCTGCCGCACCACGTGGTTTATGCGCTCCGCAATCCTCTTACGCTCGCCGGGCTCGCCGCGCGCTCGCATGACGCGCCGCTCTGCCAAAGTCGCCGCCGCGTCCATCCACGAGCAGGTGGTGGTGATCTTCGCTCGCCGCTGCTTGTTCTTCTCCCAGGAGTCGCAAGCCCCCCCGCTGTGGCTAGAAAGAAAAAACATCCGCACCGCGCGCATGCTCGTTGGGACCTTGGAGCTTGCATGGTGAGATGGTGACCCCGTCCTTCTCCCCCATGGGAGGCAGAGCGTATAGTTTGCGCTTTCTTCCTTTCTTTTATGCGCGCCAGTCCCGTGCCCAGTGTTGTGCGAGGGAGTTTCCTTGTAAAATTCTTTTATGCTGGGCGACGCCATACTCAACACACCTCGAGCTGAACGTGAGAAGAACGTCGTATTCCCTGGAGCGTGTTCTGTCCGCACGTGTCTGCCAACCGTTTGACGCCATACCGTACGGTGGTACGGACAGTGGTTTGTTGCGGTGCTTCCCGGCGGGCATCACGCTGGCGTGCGCTCGCTGCTCGCCAAGGCTCGCGCGCTTCCGCGTGATGGCTGGCTCCGCCGCCTCTCGGCGCTCACTCACTTGATCGCCTTGAGGGAGTACCACAGCCCGACCACGTCCATGACGAGGAAGGGCAAAAAGCTGGTGCCCAGCTTGTAGTCCTAATGGGCAAGTTCGAGGCGGTCGCAGAGGGTCGCACCACGCCGCAACCCGCGGCAGAGGCGTGGCTGACGCACCTTCTCGATGAAGAATTTCAATATGCAGTCGCCTGTTGAGGAAACACAGGAGCGCGCGGTGAGGAGGAGCCGCCGCGGGCGAAGCGACTGAGATCCGGCGCTCCCGTCTCACGCCACGTGGCGGCGAGGAACGACGCCTGGTAGGCCACATTTGTCCCAACGCACAGAGCCCACAGGTGGATAGCGGCGGGGAGGCTGTTCCGGATGCCCCTACACCGGCCCCGGAAGGAGACTGATGATGGTGTGGGCTGTTGTGCCGGCTCGTGTTGGCGTGTTTGCGTTTTGGATTTGTGATGCTCTGGCCGTGCTGGTTGGTCATCGTTCCGAGGTCGAGCGGCATAAATTCTGGCACATACCCGCAGAGGAACCTGTGGAGGGACCCGATGTCAGCCAACCAACGGGCAAGAAGATCGACAGTGAATGCCCGCGCGCACCCGCAGAGCCCCGTACCCATGCCGATGATGATGGGCGCGCACGAGTACACCTTGCACGCGAAGGGGACCGTGTCGCCGCTCATGATTTGGCGCGCTCGTCCCGTTCGGGCGGAACAGCCTGCTACTTTGATTGCTCGAGTCAGGTTGCGGCAGGTTGCCGATATTGGGTGTTCAGGTTGCCGAACGAAAGTTGGGTGAAAGTTGGGTGTTTCAAAACGCGACTCAAGTAGGCACCTGCCGCTGACCAAGGACTACTCGCCTTCGAACCCTCACTGTGGGCGAGGCCGTCGCGCAAAGACGACTGCGCGATCCAGGCGACCAAATCACATGCCTCAAGGCCCTCACCGACCACCCCGAAGCGCGCCCCCACCCAGCCAGCCAGCAGCAGGCGTGTCACGCGCGGCCCTCTTAGCGACCGAGTGCGTCTCCACGACCTGCTGCACCCTCGCTCGGCCAGTCAGCCCGTTCCTCTATGCCGCCGAGCAAGATGAGCTCTGCCCACCCAGGACCGCCGCGCGCCGTGCGTGAAACTCGAGCCCGATACACACTCATGCCAACGCCACGACAGCGCTGCCCATTCAACCCCCCCCCCCCCCCCTGGAATTGCGACTCGCCGCTTTCCTCCCGCTGTGATCCTGTGTGAGCTCTGTGTCTTGATTTGCCAACAACATGCATGTGATCGAATCAAGTTTTCGGGGACGTCGCCCCCCATGGGGGCCCGCGTTGCCCCGTTTGCCGTTGGGGCGGAGTTAAATCCGGGGGCCGAATTCCCGGGGGGGGCCAATTTACGCTAAGGGGGCCCGTTGCGTTCTCCGGGCCCCAAAACAAAACGAAAGCTTCCGGCGGGGCCCGGGGAAAAAAAAAAATAAA